ATATATAGATAGCTGGATATTTTTTCTACATCCCCCATTCAAATTTTCCTGCAACGAGAGTGAAAGTAGGAAGGACATTTTTGTCTTCACAGTGATCTATTTGTTTCTCTTTTATTCCTTAAAAAAGAAACGCATACTAGAATTTGAACCATGGTCATTTTCAATGATGACAAGAATCCTTACCAATCAAGCTACATATATTAGTTGTACCATTTTAAATAAAAAACATACATGAAGCTAACATTAAAAAATAACAGAACTTTTCAACGGTTAGCTAAGGTCACTAAATCTTCGCTCGATACTGATTGGTGTTTTTATACTTTGATTTTCATATTTTATTCTTTTAATAATATTTTGATACTTAATTTAAATTTCTATTTATCTTATAAATTTCTATCTATCTTATAAGGTCACTAAAGTTCTATTTATCATTGGTTCAATATTACATATCGAATTTCAATGTCGAATTTGTAAAAGCGATGTTGAACTCTTACATTAGTATTACTTTATAGAACTATCGTGAGACAATCATATCCATATCTTTCTGCAAACAATATGAGGATGGGTTCTTTGGACGTTTTAGCTAGGCTAACCATTAAGTTCTAAACATCTTCCTAATATGACAGACATGATTGAATTCAACAATCATTAAACGAGGTTGAGTTTAATAAGTTGGTTTATTTCCTCTTTTTTATGTATTAAAATTAATTGTAGAGCAAGGACATGTCTACATATACACTATACACAATATATACTACTGGCATGATAAAATTGTCGTCCCATTTCAAATTTCCTACAACGAGAGCAAAAGTATGAATGACATATTTGTCTTCGCCAGTATTTGTCTTTATTTTGTATAGAAAATAGACAAGTATTGGGATTTGAACTAATGTATCTTCAAACACAGAAAACAAGAGTCATGACCATGATTGTCAATTCGAGTATGACTCTGCTGGTCAAACCAATTCTACTGAAACCTGAGTATCTCAGCGGGTGCCAAAGGCCCAGTTGGTTGTCTACTCGTGCTCGGTCAAATTCAAATTTATCTATCTCAACGGGAAATCCGACTGAGTTAACCAACTGATTCGAGCACTGGACCACTTCAAAATGATGTTGTTTTCAACAATTCATATATGTAGCTATGCTGTCATAGCATCCTTTTACTTATCACAAAACACAGACAAAGTCATAACCATGATTTTCAATTCGAGTATGACTCTGTTGGTCGAACCAATTCTATCTAAACCTGAGTATCTCATCGGCTGCCGAAGGCCCAGTTGGTTGTCTACTTAGGCTAGGTCAAAGTGGAGTTTGTCTATCTTAGTGGGAAATCCAACCGATTTAACCAACTAATTCAAGCACCAGCCACTTCAAAATGATGTTGTTGTCAACAATTCGTATACGTAGCTACACTGTCATATCATCTTTTTATTTATCACAGAACCCTACAACATGAAACATCACATACCATGTTCCACAATCCCATCGTCTATTCTTCTTACTTTAGATTTGAGAGCTTACAATACACGACCCAACCATCTCAAAATCTATCATAATCCCGCAATAGCAAATTTCATTTTTCTCCAGCTACACATTCATAGTGCCAGTCGACCTCATCTCATACAAATACGAAGCAAAAATTATTAAGAAACATGCATTTGAGTTGAAACTTTAGGTGACTAACAAAGGCCAAATTCCTTATTTTAGTTATTATTTAATACTTCATTAAATTCCTATATATCTTATAAATAGAGGATAAATTTAAAATCGCGGCCCAAATATCATTGGTTCGAATATTTCATATCAAATTGCAGTGTTGTATATGTAAAAATGATGTATAATTCTTAAATTAATATTAATTTTTAGACCTACTATTACACAATCGTATTCATATCTTTGTGTAAACTATATGAGATTGGTTCTTTGAACATTTTAGTTCGGCTAACCGTCAAATTTTAAACCTTTTCCTATTTTGACATGGTTGGATCGAACAATCATTAGGAGTTTAATAAGTTGGTTCATTTCACCTTTTTTCAATGTGCTAATGAATTTGTAGGGAAAAGACATGTCTTTATATACACTCTACACAATATATTATACTAAAATGAGAAAATTGTTGTCTCATTTCAAATTTCCTACAACGAAAACGAAAGTAGGAATTATATTTTTGCTTCATAAATATTTTACAGAAATTACAAACTTCCAAAATCCAGAAATTGTTGCTCAAACTAAAAATCAGAGCATCAAAAATCAATGTTCGCAATTTTTTATTTCATATATCACTTATTTGAGAGATTTTTCTCTCTATAAGCAAAGTAAAATGAAACAAGCTATAGCCAAATCAACAGCTTTGGCTCGGAGACGATGACCTGCTTCTTCGTGGGAGAAAGAAATACATGCAGTGCCGTCAGAGATCTGGAGAGCAAAGACGAAAAGGATACAGTACGAGTTCGTGAATGAGTATTGTGAAATAGATCATCAAATCACGGGCTTGGTGCTGAAAAAAATATAGGAGATTAGTTAGATAGACGATGATATAGAATTTACCAATTTGGTACATCTATAGGAGATCTTTAGAGTCGGCTTAGGAAACAAAGAATCGAAGGGGAAGAAAGAGATATAGACTCTTTTATAACAACTAATTGAGTGCATGGGGGTGGATAAACGATGCATTCATTTATCTTTTCCTTTTTTAAAAAATAAAACAAAATAGCATCGTAAACGTTTTTGGGTTTCTATTCACCTTTTGAAGTTTGTTCTTTTTCGGGTCTAATCAGATTATTTAAAGCTATTATTCTACTCAAATGATTTTATTTTTTCCACTGCTTTGATGTAATATTTTGATCAAAACATGTTAGTAAGTTAAATGATATATTAATTAAAATAATATAATATTCATGCTCTTTCGGGACACTCAAATTATAATTCTTGAGAAGTATACACTCTTATGCTCCAATTCTAGCTCCTACTCTAGCTCCCGCTCCGCGAATCGGTAAGATAAATCCGTCAAGTCAATTCTGTTAACAAAGAGACTATTGGAAGAACTCGCCTTCCATCACATATTGTCTTCCCTCGCAAACACCCCCATGCTCAATTTCCACTTGGTCGTTACCCATTAATTTCACTTCTGACACACATCGCCACCATAGGAGTGTGACCTTCATCGCGTGACAAATACATGTTGTTGGAGTGCATTTTAGATCTCTAAGGAGGATAGCATAACATAGCAGATAGAGAAACAAATGTAGATAGTCTGGTCGAGGAAGAATATTATTCATATGTAGATGAGATTTTATATAATTTATAAATATATGAACAATATAATAATTTTTTCATATATCTGGGCAAAAGCGAACTAAAACAATTAGACCATTAACCATCAACCCACTTAATCGACTGGGCAAACGGCTAAACCTGGTTGACAACCTTTGATACTTGAAATCCATATATTCTAAAAATTTTGAGTTCCAATTTTTATGATTGAGTCAAATCGATCAATAATTGTGGACGTTTCAAAGAGTGGTTGAAATTCAAAAGTCGGTCTTCAGAGTTCTTTCGTCACAGACAAGTTTTTGCGTTTAATTATTGTTAGATCGAAGGAAGAGAAAGCAGGACAAATGAAGGATGAGATTGTGGCTATTAATTATTGGGAGTTGCAGATGGAGAAGATAAGCTTATGTGATATCCATTAGCGCGATATTTAATTCCTGCGGTCCAAAAATGAAGGTTCGAATTCAACGATCAAAGGATCAATTGGAAGCATTCTTGATGGATAAATTGTGCAGTTGCTGCCAATTCAAGATGCGAACAATTGGTAGGGAAATTGAGGAGTTAATTAATTGTGCTTATGAAGTGAAGATGGGATGCATGAGAATGCTTGGAGCTAGACACGTGGGTTATACATGAAGAAGGTTACTGCTTTGCTTGCATGGATTAATTAAATGGCTGAGTTATTGTGGAAGCAAATGAATGTGACGTGTGTGCATATGGGTTTGCATGATTAATGGTACCTGAAGCTCATTGGATGATAGGGAGTCCAAATCTAAAGCAAGTTATCGAGCAAAGGAAGAATATATTTCAAACGAGATGCTTAGTGGATGGTAAGCTACTATCGGTTGTGATTGATGGAGAGAGTTGCACTAATCTGGTGAGTGAATATTCGGTGAAGAAATTGGGGTTAAACACAATGCAACATCCGAAACCCTACACTCTTCAATGGCTTAATGAAGATGGATCAATTGAGGTCACCAAGCAAGCCATATTGAAGTTTGAGATTGGAAGATATAAAGATGAAGTCCTTTGTGATGTGGTGCCAATGGAAGAGGCTCATGTTTTGCTTGGAATACCATGGCAGTTTGATCGAAATGGACAACTAGATGGAGTCACCAAGAAGTACAAGTGGTATCAGAGCCCGGTTCAAACTCAGCGGCGATTTGAATATTACCGGTTCAAACTCAGCGGCGAAGGTGTGTTATACGATATCCTTTACTTTTAGTTCTTGTTTTTTTCGTTTGATTTTTGTTCAAGAAAAGCCATAAGAAAAGCCAAAAAAAATATTAACTTTAGAAAAAGGCAAACAATAAAAGTAACGAAAAAAAAAAGTTTGTGTGCGTTTACGTAGGAAAAGAAAAAGAGAATTTGTGTTTGGTTTGATTTTTTTTCCTTTATCGTTCACGTTAGAGTTTTGTTTTGTTTTTTTATTATTCTTTTCGTTGTTACTGTTCACATGAAGATAAAAAAAAAAGTCGAAAAAAATATATTAAGTTGAACAGCCACAAAGCTGTACGTGGGAGAAAAAAAATCTTGTGGTTTTGGTTTTGTTTTTGTGGTTCTTGTTTAATTTTTGGATCAAGCAATAATGGCGGAGGATCGAGCAAATCAAGACATTGCGGTAATTATGACATATCAGCATGCAATTAGAAGCTTATCGTCAAGGGCAAGCACAAATAAATGTGAGCCTTACTCGATTGGCGACTTTATGGTGAATCAGTGCGCCAGCCATGGTAATCAAACAAGAAGCTCAGTTGCAGATAAGGAGTTCAAATCCAGAACAAGAGCGAACTTTTGAGGCTACCATAGAGACACAAGAGACAAGTCCAGAAGTTTTCGACATCAAGATTCAAGCAGATCAGCTACAAGATATTCAGAGCCAAACGACAATACAACATCAAGACAAGGAGGAGTATATTGAAATATCGCCTATGGAAGGTCGACTTTTTGATACTTGTTGTGAAGAGTATGAGGATTTCGATGATGAGGAGGCGATAGAAGATGTTCTTGTTGATGAGCCAACTTTGGGTGCGCCGGATTGTGAGCAATACATGGTGAAACCAGAAATGAATGGAGGAGATGAATGCATGAAAAAATTTGGGGGATTCATCAATTGTTCCAGAGTATGATCATATTGATTTCGTGGTTGGCGATGCAATTTTCGAAGAGGGAGCACACATGGAAAAGCGACAAGAATTGCAGAGCTATGTGGAAGGTGTTCATCAAAATAGCGTTTCTACAATTCGTGGATGAATTGTCTTTAATAAGGGGGGAATGATACAATCCCCACTACCAAGCCAATTTAATTCGAAGGCCAAGAAGAGTGGTGCTGATTGGAGATCAAAGTTTTATAAAGATTCGAGGTTGAATCTTCTTCAAGAGAGAGGGAATGATGTGATATCCACTAGCGCGATATTTAATTCCCGCGGTCCAAAAATGAAGGTTCGAATTCAACGATATAAGGATCAATTGGGAGCATTCTTGATGGATAAAAGGGATAAATTGTGCACGAATATGTTGCTGCCAATTCAATATGCGAACAATTGGTAGGGAAATTGAGGAGTTGATTAATTGTGCATATGAAGTGAAGATGGGATGCATGAGAATGCTTGGAGCTAGACACGTGGGTTATGCATGAAGAAGGTTACTGCTTTGCTTACATGGATTAATTAAATGGTTGAATTATTGTGGAAGCAGATCAGGGACGGAGTCAGGATTTTAATTTAGGAGGGGCCAAAATATAATATTTGTATAAAAAGAAAAAAATTGATAGAATTCAGTCAAATTTATAATAAACCTAAAATTCTTCGTAGAAATGAAAATATTTCACAAAAATATTCATATATTACATGCATAACATATATAAACATAGTTAAAATATTATATACTAATTTATAATAAACCGTATAATCTGAATATACAAAATAGAAGATTTAATTATAACTTCTGTTAGTATTCCAATCCCGACAACCTGAATTGGTACTTGGCATCCTGAATAGCATAATATCATATTCTTCTGTAACCGAAAGGTGTACTATTCCAATCCCGACAACTTCAATTGTTAAGCACATAGTATTTCAGATGTGTGAAACTTGAAGCACATGTTAGTGACTTTCGTTTGAAAAGGCGTGCTAATATGTGGTATCATATCCATTATTGAATCTCTCGCGACAACTTATATTTCTAGAATCAACTGGTTCTTACAATATCGATCAAATTATTGTTGACATATTGATAATGTATGGCAATAAATTTAACTAACAGTTATAAAACAAGAAAATGAAACTCATGATTACGTACTCTATTTTTCACTGAATTCATAGGTACAAGATGCACCATAATTAATAATACGTGTATAGACTTCCCCCACCACACATCTTTAATTAATAGCATGTTAAAAATATTAATTATAGTGCACTAGAGTAGCAAAATGATTCAATTAAAGTTATTATAGTTTTCTTTTAGGCATATAAAATGAAGCAGAGTGTTGGGTTTCAATAGAGTTCTTGTTAGGGTTTCCACTAAGCTAGACCAAGAACTCCCACCAAAACTACCTTCCATCTATATGTATAAACTCACTACCAAAAAAATTAGGGGGGCCATGGCCCCTCCTCTCATAGAGTTGGCTCCGTCCCTGAAGCAGATGAATGTGACGTGTGTGCATATGGGTTTGCATGATTAATGGTACTTTAAGAAGGAAGGAGAAGAAGAAGGTTCCGCAGTCAACAACTAAAAGAAGATTTGTCCGGGATAAGATCTGGTGACTAAGGGGGGTCCCTTAGTCACTTGCCTAAGTTGATCTCAGCCCTTCAACTTCATTAAAATCTAATGGTTCTAATTAATTCAATTAAAGGAAGGGCAATGTAGTAATTTCATTATTATTCTATTTGTTAATTAAAAAAACAGTTCAGACCTCTCCTTTCTTGCGCCGATCTCCCCGCCGGTCCATGGAATTTTGGCGGCAGCGTGGGTTTTTTGGTGGCCCTGACGGTGGCTAGGGCTTTTCCCCTCTGTTGGTTTTTTTGGTGGGTGGTTGAGAGAGAGAGAGCTGATGGGGGAGGGAGGGAATTTTTTTCCCCATCCCATCCCAAATCACGCGAGAGAGAGAGAGAGAGAGAGAGAGAGAGAGAGAGAGAGAGAGAGAGAGAGAGAGAGAGAGAGAGAGAGAGAGAGAGAGAGAGAGAGAGAGAGAGAGAGAGAGAGAGAGAGAGAGAGAGAGAGAGAGAGAGAGAGCACCGGCGGCAGGGATTTCCCCTGAATGGAATTTTTTTACCCACATAAGCCAATTGCCTTTGAGAGAGAGAGAGAGAGAGATTCTTGTCGGAAAATTTTCTGGTCGGAAAATTTTTTCCGGCGACCATCGTCGACGGAGAAGAATTTTTCGGCGACAGTGCCAATTTTGTGATGTTTGTTGACATATTTTGTAATGTTTGTACGCTTTGTTATTTTGTAATGTTTGTAAACTTTGTTATTTTTGTGCACCATGTTTATCATCTTTGTCAACCATGTTTGTAATGTTTTTTATGTCTAAAAAACAACCTGGTTGACTTTTGGATGGAACTTCTCTATATAGGGATGGAGCCTCCAAAGTCAACCCGGGTGTTTTTTCCCGTTCGTATGAATTGTCGGTCTAGTTTGTCATTTTTGTCCACCATGTTCGTACTGTTTGTATGTCTAAAAAACACCCGGGTTGACTTTGGGAAGGAGCCCCTCTATATAGGGATGGAGTCTCCAAAGTCAACCCGGTTGTTTTTTCTTTTTGTATGGTTTGTATTGTTTGTACAGTTCATACGTTTGTAATGTTTGTAAATCTGTTTGTATGTTTTGTCGCTCTAGTTTGTACTGTTCGTATGTTTGTATGGTTTGTATTGATTGCAAATCCGGTTTGTATACTTCGTAATTTTCCATAATACCCAAACTACCTCTGTCATTAATTAAATAGTACTAATGGATCCATTGGATTGAAGTGTCCAGATCTAATGGCTAGGAGGGGCTTAGTCAAGTGACTAAGGACCCCCCTAGTCATGGGATCCGCTCTCGACTTGTCCGCAGCGGCTACTGAAATGTGGAAGGCCCGAGTTCAATTCCGTAAAGGAAAAGGAAAAAGAATTCAGCGGCAGCTTTTGGAGTTATTTGTTTAATTAGTAGTTTATTTATTTGTTAAAGTATTAGTATGTTTTTTACTTAGTTTGGGATTTGTTTTCTTATTCCTAGAAGGTTAGATTTATGATTTTGAGACCTTTATAAATAGATGGTGTAAGATCTACGAATTTGGTACCCTATATTCAAGTTTCAACAATCAAATACAAGTGTTTACAAGTTCAAGTGAACGTTTTGCTTATTCGCTCCTTTGAGGATTCGGGAGGTTTGAGTGGTCTCTTATCAACTAGAGAACGCGTCTAGTTGTGGCGAGCATCGACTATATCGATTTTCCTTATCCACGGGTTCGAGATTGTTTGGTTGGTTTAATATACCAACTGGCCCTTCTCACAAGTTCGGATCTGTTTGATCGATTTCCGCGACTATCATCTATTTTCGTGTTAAAGAAGAAAGAAGAAAGAAGAAAACCCCTAAAAAGTTTGACGTGTGCAACTCTGGTTTTTGGTCCGATTTGGGAGGATTCTCGAATTAGGATCATATCATAAGTCATAAAGGGGATTAAATTTAATTTGATAATACGTATATACTATATATTACCCCTGAATGGAATTTTTTTACCCACATAAGCCAATTGCCTTTGCGAGAGAGAGAGAGAGAGAGAGAGAGATTCTGGTCGGAAAATTTTTTCCGGCGACCATCGTCGACGGAGAAGAATTTTTCGGCGACAGTGCCAATTTTTTGATGTTTGTTGACATATTTTGTAATGTTTGTACGCTTTGTTATTTTGTAATGTTTGTAAACTTTGTTATTTTTGTGCACCATGTTTATCATCTTTGTCAACCATGTTTGTAATGTTTTTTATGTCTAAAAAACAACCTGGTTGACTTTTGGATGGAACTTCTCTATATAGGGATGGAGCCTCCAAAGTCAACCCGGGTGTTTTTTCCCGTTCGTATGAATTGTCGGTCTAGTTTGTCATTTTTGTCCACCATGTTCGTACTGTTTGTATGTCTAAAAAACACCCGGGTTGACTTTGGGAAGGAGCCCCTCTATATTGGGATGGAGTCTCCAAAGTCAACCCGGTTGTTTTTTCTTTTTGTATGGTTTGTATTGTTTGTACAGTTCATACGTTTGTAATGTTTGTAAATCTGTTTGTATGTTTTGTCGCTCTAGTTTGTACTGTTCGTATGTTTGTATGGTTTGTATTGATTGTAAATCCGGTTTGTATACTTCGTAATTTTCCATAATACCCAAACTACCTCTGTCATTAATTAAATAGTACTAATGGATCCATTGGATTGAAGTGTCCAGATCTAATGGCTAGGAGGGGCTTAGTCAAGTGACTAAGGACCCCCCTAGTCATGGGATCCGCTCTCGACTTGTCCGCAGCGGCTACTGAAATGTGGAAGGCCCGAGTTCAATTCCGTAAAGGAAAAGGAAAAAGAATTCAGCGGCAGCTTTTGGAGTTATTTGTTTAATTAGTAGTTTATTTATTTGTTAAAGTATTAGTATGTTTTTTACTTAGTTTGGGATTTGTTTTCCTATTCCTAGAAGGTTAGATTTATGATTTTGAGACCTTTATAAATAGATGGTGTAAGATCTACGAATTTGGTACCCTATATTCAAGTTTCAACAATCAAATACAAGTGTTTACAAGTTCAAGTGAACGTTTTGCTTATTCGCTCCTTTGAGGATTCGGGAGGTTTGAGTGGTCTCTTATCAACTAGAGAACGCGTCTAGTTGTGGCGAGCATCGACTATATCGATTGGCCTTATCCACGGGTTCGAGATTGTTTGGTTGGTTTAATATACCAACTGGCCCTTCTCACGAGTTCGGATCTGTTTGATCGATTTCCGCGACTATCATCTATTTTCTTGTTAAAGAAGAAAGAAGAAAGAAGAAAACCCCTAAAAAGTTTGACGTGTGCAACTCTGGTTTTTGGTCCGATTTGGGAGGATTCTCGAATTAGGATCATATCATAAGTCATAAAGGGGATTAAATTTAATTTGATAATACGTATATACTATAT